TGTCTCACAAAACAAAAAACAAAGAAAAGAAAAGGAAAAAAAGAAAGGAAAACTAGCTGCAAAGTGTTCAAATTCTAGTGAAAGAATTGAGACTTTGCTGAAAAGGTAACTTTAAATCTTTGTTATTTGAGCGTCCACCCTAAAATCTAGAAAAATTTCAACACTGTTAAAAAAACAAGACGAGATGGCCTACAGAGATAATGCTTATTTTCCTACAGACACCTCAGGGCCAGAATGTTTGCGTTCAGTTTTACCAGGTCTGGATGCTTCTCACAGATCTAAACAATGTATCTTGTAAAAGTTATTTCACGAGAAACCCTGTCTAGTAAAAACCAAAAAAAAAAAAAAAAAAAAGAAAAGAAAAGAAAGAAAGAAAAAGAAAAAAAGTTACTTCCCAATTTCATTTGTAAAAAGAAATTCTCGAATGTAAGAGAGGTAAACCCAGCTGGTGATGGTGGGGAAACCCTGTCTCAGAAAAAACAAAACATAGAAAGTAAACTGGACTATATATTTTTACTTAATTCTTAACCTTTGTTGAATATTTTTTTATTTTTGGTTTTTCGAGACAGGGTTTCTCTGTATTGTTTTGGAGGCTGTCCTGGAACTCGCTCTGTAGACCAGGCTGGCCTCAAACTCACAGAGATCCGCCTGCCTCTGCCTCCGGAGTGCTGGGATTAAAGGCGTGCGCCACCAAGGCCCGGCTCCTTTGTTGAATATTTAAACCTTGCTGTAGATTACTTTTCTTGGAGCAATGTAACAGAACGTTGCAATCACATTTACCTTGGAGACCACTACACACAACTCTCTGTTGAGCTCTTACCCATCTTGAGTATGGACAGCCCTGCTCCCCACCTCTGTCAGAGCCAGCACTTAAAACTGAAGTGTGTACTATCCCTTATCTCTTACCAGGCTTGCTGACTTTGCTTCTCTCTGGCTGTTCTGGAATTTATTTCTTCTGTGTAGTCAAGGGTTTAACTTTACCCCATTCCATATCCCCAAGGTGAGGAACTCCTCGGGCTATGGGGGAAACACTGCTGGCCTATGTCTCACCACTACAGATTGGTGACATTTAACAATTACCATGGCAGTGACCAAAAGGTAAAAAGGGGGATGGGAAGGGGGAGACGTGTCACCTGAATTCCAGAATGCTCACTAGCCAATCTATGGAAAGATCTGAATAACCCCTCCTTTTAAACCCATCCCCTCTTCCCCCCCCCCCCAAGACAGGATTTCCCTGTATTGTTTTGGAGGCTGTCCTGGAACTCACTCTGTAGACCAGGCTGGCCTCGAACTCACAGAAATCCGCCTGCCTCTGCCTCCCAAGTGCTGGGATTAAAGGCATGCGCCACCAACGCCCGGCTTCTTCCTCCCTTTTTAACTCAGTACCTGTTACTTCTCAACGCCCAAGAATTGCTAAACTGACTTGAAGGTTTATCTTCCATTTCTCTTGCTCTTAGCCAAAACTAAGTCTCCTTTTTCTTCTCAGCTGATGATTGGTTCCATAGTCCCAAGAGGGAAAATGGGATTTGGGCAAAAGACAATTAACACCTACAAGAACAGTCTGCAAATTGATACGTTTGTTTGTTTGTTGTTTCTCAAGACAGGTTTTCTCTGTGTACCAGACCTGGCTGTTCTGAAATTCACTTTCTAGACGAGGCTGGCCTCGAACTCACAGAGATCCTCCTGCCTCTGCCTCCTGAATGCTGGGATTAAAGGTAGGTACTTTTTTTTTAAATCAGACTTATGAACCATAGCATTTCTTCTTTCCTTTTTTTTTTAACCTGTGAATATGCATGTTTGCATATGTTTGGGCCTATGTGCATGTTATCAAACTTGGAGATCACAGTCTGTGCTCTAAGAAGTCAAGTTCCTCATAAAGTCAATTAAAATAGCCAAGTTAATAGTAAAAATCAGAAAAGGGAGATGTATTCAATGCAGCCATATTGGGAAGAAGGACAAAGAGATCCATGACTCACCCTAAAGTCCGTCTTTGGTCCCAAGATGATTGTAAAGTTTAAATCGTGGCCAAGAGTGTGAACTGTAAATAGTCTGAACCAGGAGTGTGAACTGTAAAGAGTCTGAACCAAGGTGTGATCCTCCCGCCGCTCATTCACCCATCGTCCTCTGGGTTTCATCCTCATGCTGTAGTCTGACAAGTCAGAAGCATGGAAAATCTTTTTCCCAGTCCCTCCCCGCCTTGTGCCTTTTCCTTTTTCCAGCACGAGATCCCTGGGGAGATTCTCATTTCTTGGGGTTCACTGCTTCAACAATCTGATAGACTTAGAGATTTAGGTGAAGAGAAAGCTCTTTAAAACAGTCTCATTTCTGCCAGGCTAAATTTCATAAGTTCACGCATGTGCGTGTGCGTGTGCGTGTGCGCATGCAGACATGAGTGTGTGTGTGTGTGTGTGCTCGCACGCGCGTGCGTGTAAGATAGAGGTCGGCATCGGGTGTTCTCCTCTGCCGTCTCCCCCTTATATATTGAAGCACTTGAACCCAGAGCTTGAACCAGCTTGTTGAGGTTGTCAGTGTCCTCTGGGAATCTCCTGCCTGCACCTCCTAAGGCCTAGGATTGCAGGTGAGCTGCCAGACCCACATGGCATCCAAGTGAATGCTCAGGATCTGAACCCGGGTACCCATATATGCACAGCAAGCACTTTACCTAATGCGCCATCTCCTCAGCCCTTCTCACATACTCTAGAAACAAGTTCCTCAAAACATAAACCCTGCCTGGTATGGTGACGAACACCTTTAGTCTCAGCACCTGGGAGGCAGAAGCAGAGGATCTGTGAGTTTCAGTCTAGTGTAGCTGGTCTACATAGTGAGATCCAGGCCAGTCAAGGCTACAAAGTGAGACCCTCTCTCAAAAACAAAACAAAACAATCACCTTGGAGGAAATATCCATATTATAAAAGACTTGGACTCAAATTTATACCATAGATTTTCCTTTTCCTTAAGCCTCCAAACTCAAACCAGGAGTATGCCACTAAATCTCCTGTTTCCAGTCTGCAGATGGAAGATTGTGTGAATTTCCTGTCACCATAGTCACATGAGCCAATTTATACAGTCGTCCTATATTGTAAAACTCTAAATGTGGTTTATTGTCTCTCTGTAGAACTCAGACCAATACTAACTATAATCACAAAGATTGGCTTAGATTCAACTAAAATGCTCATTAATTAGTAGTTAAATAAAAGTGATAGAATCATTTGGGAAAAAAAATCTTCGCCATTCTCATAAAGTCATAGATAAATACCAAAAGCATTACATGAAATAAAAGAGGCCAGATATAAAATGATACATCATAAATAACCTCATATATGCAATATACCAGAAAAGATAAAATGTGCCAAGTATTGTGGTCCGGGCCTACAATCCCAGTGCTTGGGAGGATCAGGAGCTCAAGACATGCTTAGCTACAGGGCTGTGAGGTGTTGTAAGACAAATTCAGTATTGAGCAGAGCACAGTGTGCTGGGACTTAAAAAAGGTAGTTCTGAGGACCAGAAAGCTTGGCCCTGAGGGCACAGCTCAGTTGTAAAGCTCTTGCCTACTATGTGTGAATCCTAGCTTTGCACAAAAATAAAACGCAGGCTCTGAACAGAGCACCCCACCATGCTGCTGCCTGTCTGTGTGTCTATCGTGTCTGTCGTGTGTCTGCGTGTCTGCGTGTCTATCGTGTCTGTCGTGTGTCTGCGTGTCTGTGTGTCTATCGTGTGTCTGCGTGTCTGTGTGTCTATCGTGTTTGTACGATGTTTTAAGTTACTGGACTGGCTTGAGGGCAGTCTGTTCAGGTGCTTGGCTGACAGTCCTTTGCTTAGGTCACCAAGGAAGGGACTAAAAACTCTCAATTATGTGAGAAACAAGACCTTCACTTTGTAACAACAAATTCAAGAGACTAGGGAAAGTTAAAGTTTTTATTTTACAATCCTGTGGACATGGATGTTGGCCTACTAAAAGGAGTGGTGTACCAGGTTGGCACAAAGCAGCGATTTTTATTTACTTGTTCATTTATTTATTTTGGTTTTGGTTTTTTGACAAACAGTGGTTTTTAAAGGCCCCAATTGCAAAAACCAACCAAACAAAAACAAAACATCCTGTTTTTTTCCCATAGGCTGGTACTCCAGAGAGGTACAGAACCTTTGCTCTCACCTCTTAAAGCACCCTCACCGAACGTCCCATCCTATTGGCTCAGAACGTACAGTCTTATCTACCGTATGTCCTGGGTCTTGGGATCCCCTTTTCTGATCACCGTTGGCTCAGTCACGCGTCAGAGTGCCTGTAACTTTTCAACCCTAAGATAAACTGGACTACCTAGACACGCAGGCACCAGTTACCAACTAAGGGAAGAGATGGGTGTGGTTGGGGGGTGGGCTAGCACCTCCAGATTATCTGTAATTGAGCGCTAAGCCACCTCACGAACATAATCTATTTACTTATCCATTATTTAATAATAAAGTTTATTTTAATATTTAATAAGACTTTAATATTTACATTTAATATTTAATAAGAGCTTATTTTGTCTTATGGTTCTTCTGTACAAGGCATGGCAGCACATAACATGATTTATTTCTTGTAAAACAGCCCTGGCCTCCACCAGTTTAGGTTAAAGGGAAGAAGAAAAACAAAACTTTAAAACGAGTGCTTATTAAAGCCTATTATTAATATTAACAGCACTTTAAAAATAATCTAGCCGTAATTAGCCAAACACCCTGGGGCTAGGTGGGCCATTTTATCAGCCCTGGAAGAAGGGCCTGCGGGCGATTCAGGAAAAGCAAGGCAGCAAGGGCGGCCTGGGAACAGAAGTGGGCGAGTGACAACCGCACAGCCAAGCGTGCGAGCGGGGCGAGCGGGGCGAGCCGAGTGCGGCGGGGAGGCGGAGGCGGAGGCGGAGGCGAGCAGCCGGAAGGCTCGCCCGGAGCATCCGGGTGAGAGGCCGGAGGTCGGAGCGGAATCCCGGAGCGCCGCCCGAGCTCGTGGGTGCCGGGAGTGGTGGGGGTGGATCTCCAGGGTGCGTGGCTTCGTTATGGTGACGCTCTGGGAGGCCCGGCCGCACGGGGGCGCCGGAGCACGGCCATCGGGCGTCCCTTCCGTCCGCCGGAAGCGCTCTCCTGACACTGCGCGCCGCGGGAAGATGGCGCTGGAAGCTGGCGACATGGAAGACGGGCAGCTTTCCGACTCGGACTCCGACATGACGGTCGTACCCAGCGACAGGCCGGCGCAAATGGCGGTGAGCGAGAGGGCGCGCGGGAGACCGGGCCGGACGCCGGGGGAGCGCGGCCGGGAGGAGGGGTGCGGGCGGCGGCCTCGGGATGCGGCGAGTCGGAGGCCGCGGGGCCCCGGCGGAGACTCGACCCCGCGGAGCCGCCGGCCTCGCGGCCTCCGGGACTGGCGCGCGTCCCCTCGCCTGCGGCTCGTGCCTCCGCACGCTTCCCTTCTTCCTGCACAGCCGCCCCAGGGCACTGACGCCGCCCAAAGCGGAGCGTGGGGACGGGGAGCGGAGACTGCTTCGGATGCGCGTTTTATTGGCTCCTGGCGGGCAGGGAGCTCATTGCGTACCCGGGGCCTGGTCTTGAGAGTTGCGGTCTCTTCCGCGTGCCGGCACGGAGGCACCAGGCTTTGTTTCAGCTGCGCAGGGCTGTAGACGGCGGCTCGCTATGTATCCCACGGCTGGTCGGGCGCTTGAACTGTCGTCCTGCCCCTTAGACTCCACAAGTGCTGGGAGGTCCCAGTGCGCCACCACTCGAGGCAGCTTCCTAATTCTCTGGGACTTCTGCTACTCCTCGGAAAGTCCTGCTTCCCGCACCCAATCCCTGGCACCGCCGCTGTCGTCTGCAAAATGTTTTGACTGCCCTGCTTTGGTTTTCAGGTGGGGACTGGCATGATGCACACTGTAAGGCCTGGCCAGTTTTGCCTGCGGTTATTGCTGGGGGACTATTCATCTACTGCCTTAAGTCATCTTGCTCGTTTTAAATAACGAAGAGGAATTCAATAGATGCTTGGTTTTGTGTTTAGCATAGAAAAGCAAAGGTTGAGGGCAGAGTTACAATTAGAAGAAATAAACTCGGGGCTCTATTGCATAGTAGGGCGACTAGTTAACAGTGGCATCTGTTTCTAAATAACCAGGGAGTGGGGGTATAGCTCAATCATAGAGTGCTTGCCTAGCATGCAGGAGGCCCTGAGTCCAGTCCTCCCACTCATAAGTCCAGTGTAATTCACATGTGTCCTCCCCCCCCATAAGAGGGTTTTGTTCACCATAAGGTCTTTTTCATCATAAAGAAATGATAAATGTTTAGAGTGATAAATAAGCTAACAACCCTGATTTGATCATTATGAAAGATAGACATAAATTGAAGTATCATATTATACTGCATAAATTTGTGTAGTCATTATGTGTCGGTTAAGTTTTCCAAGTGATTAATTTCACATGTAGGAAACTAATACTGGGATCTTATTTTTCAGGCCCCTCTCCCAACATTAATAGTTTGGTTGACATAATATTGTGAAATTGTTTTTGTTTGGTTTGGGACAGGGTCAATTTTCATAGCCCAAAGTGTCCTCAAAACCAGGATCCTCCTGCCTCGGCCTCCTGAGCTCTGATTAAAAGTGTGCACCACTATACCCGATGAAACCTGCAGTTAAAAGTAATATGTCTGGCCTGGTCTACAGAGTGAGTTCCAGGACAGCCTCCAAAACAATACAGAGAACCCTGTCTCGAAAAACAAACAAACAAACAAAAGTACTATGTCTGGGATTCTTCCCCATGGGAGCTTACCATCAAATCTTTTGTTTGTTTGTTTGTTTTGTGACAGGGTCTTCACTTATTTAGACCTTGGCTGGCCTTGAACTTACAGAGATTTGTCTGCCTTTGCCTCCCAAGAGTACTGGGATTGATACCATCATGTCTTAAAGGAGTAGCCACAGAACCGTATAGAGGAAGTTGATATATTCAACTGGAAAATATATTTTTGGAGGGAAAGATAACAAACTCTGCCTTAACTGCCAGTAACAGTGATGTATGTCATCCTCCCAGATGTGGTTCTTGAAGGTGAGAAGTAAAGGCTTTGGCAAATTTTTAGGAGGAGATCTTCCAGAACCAAATTAACAGAAACTAGATTAGTGTCAGCTGTCTTTGGATGGTGATGATTTTGGATGCTCCCATGGAATCTCTGGTACACTCTTTGTCAAGTCCTCTTCTCCTTAATAAAGTCTGTGCTCCACAGACAGGCCTGAGCCCACTGTGGAACCTAAGTTGTCTTTAAGCCTCTGGTCCTTCTGCCTCTGGAATGCCGAGATGGCATGCATGGGTAGTGCCTACATCACTAAACAATAGCCCATGGTAGGTGGAGTTAATGCTGTGTGGAACTGACTGTGATTTCTTTCACTTGCAGAAAGTGCTAGGTGGGGGCAGTGTTGCGTGTGCACCAGTGTCACACTATCGGACTGTTAAAAACGTGGATTCCAGTGAGGAGAGTGTGGATTCGGATGAAGACTGCTCTCTTTGGAAACGGAAGCGACAGAAATGTCTTAACCCTCCTCCCAAACCAGAGCCTTTTCCGTTTGGCCAGAGCAGTCAGAAAACAGCTCTCAACGGAGGGAAGAAGGTGAACAATATTTGGGGGGCTGTGCTTCAGGAACAAAATCAAGATGCGGTGGCCATCGAGCTTGGCATCCTGGGAATGGAAGGTACCCTTGACAGAAGCAGGCAGTCTGAGACCTACAACTATTTGCTTGCTAAGAAACTTAGGCGGGAATCTCAAGAGTACACAAAAGAATTAGACAAAGAACTAGATGAATATATGCATGGTGACAAAAAACCGGGGTCAAAGGAAGAGGAGAACGGGCAAGGCCACCTCAAACGGAAGCGGCCTGTCAAAGAGAGACTGGGTAACAGAGTAGAAATGAACTACAAAGGCCGCTATGAGATCACAGAAGGTGACTCCCCAGAGAAAGTGGCTGAGGAAATTGCTTTCAGGTAAGCACTTGACCACATGTCTCGTATTTGCAGGAAGCAAAACAGATGCTAACATATTCCTTTTTTACTTTTTTTGTTTATGTGTTCGTTTAGTTTTAGGGTCTCCCTATAGTTTTAGCTGTCTGGAGCTTGCTGTGTAGACCAGGCTGGCCTCAAACTTACAGAGATCCACCTGCCTCTGCCTCTCAGAGCTGGGATTAAAGGCGTGTGCCATGCCTGACTGACGTTTTGTTTTGTTTTTCTTAAAGGAATTAACCCAAGCATATTTGACTGTGATTGGATTTGTGTCTTTTAAAGATAACACTGAGCTGGACACGTAGCTCAGTTGGTGTGGTGCTTGCCTAGCATGCATGAGACCTCGAGTTCAATCCTTAGCACCCATAAACTGGGCACGGTGTTGCCTGCCTGTAATCACAGTACTAATGAAATGGAAGATCAGAGGTTTAAAGTCATTCTCAGCCACATGGGAGCTTGATGCCAGCCGATGAGATACTGTCTCAAAAGGAAAAAAAAAAAAACGAGCTGGCAAGGTGGCTCAGGTGGCCGGGCGTTGGTGGGACACGCCTTTAATCCCATCACTTGGGAGGCAGAGGCAGGAGGATCTCTGTGAGATTGAGACCAGCCTGGTCTACAAGAGCAAGTTCCAGGACAGCCTCCAAAACAATACAGAGAAACCCTGTCTTGAAAAAAACCAAAAAAAAAAAAGATGCTCATCTGATTTAGACTCTTGTCATCAAGTCTGGTGTCAGTTTAATCCGTGGTCCCATGTGGTAGAAGTAGAAAGTTGTCTTCTGACCTCCACATTTATGCCATGGCGTGCACACACACACACACACACACACACACACACACACACACACACAATTTTTACTGTTATTCTTAAGTTGGAAGATAAAATAGCTGATATGTTAATATGATAATCATTCATTTTCAGGTGTTGATTTCTTTATGGAGACAAATTACCCAGTTTTATTGTTAACAACTGTGGCTTTTAAAAATCTTTCTCCATCACCCAGTAAAATCTTTTGTGTCCTCACCCATATGCCCGTTTACTATTAATATCCTTATTCTCCTTCCCAGACAAATACACTTTTCTGTCCTAGTAAATTTGCCATACAGATGCAGCCATGCAGTATCCATTTTTGTAGTTTCTCTCCCTCCCTGAATAGGGTTTCTCTTTGTAGCTCTGTAGACCAAGCTGGCCTTGAACTCAGAAATCCACCTGCCTCTGCCTCCCAAGTCCTGGCATCTGCCACCATGTCTGGCTACTCTTTTCTTTTTTTCCTTTTCTTTTTTTTTTTTTTGTTTTTTGTTTTTTTTTGTTTTGTTTTGTTTTTTTTGTTTTGTTTTGTTTTTTTTTGTTTGTTTTGTTATTTTGAGGCAGGGTTTCACTGTGTAGCTCTGCTGTCCTGGAAGGAGTTGTATGTAGACTCAGAGATCTGCCTGCCTCTGTTCTCCAAGTGCTGGGATTAAAGATGGGCGCCACCACTGCCGGACTTCATGCTGTAGCAGAAACTAGTTAATACTTTTACCCCTCTTTCCTTTTTTTCTTTTTTGAGATAGACTGAATTGATGAAGGAACCTGAGCCAAAGCCAGTCCTAGGAATTTGCTGGCCTCAAACTCACAAGAGAGCTGCCTGCCTCTGCCTCCCAAGTGCTGGAATTAAAGGCGTGCACCACTCACTATGCCTACACTTATTTTCTTAATTTGTAAATGAGAAGTGTTGCTTTTTGATTTGGGTGTTTTGTTTTGAGAAAGGTCTCCCATACCTCAAACTTACTATGTAGCAAGATGGGTCTTGAACTCTGATCCTCCTTCCTCTACCTCCCAAGGGCTAGAGTTACAGGCATTCAATCACCACTGCATTTTTATTAAATGTGTATAGATTTATGTATCTCCGGACTGGATGGATAGTCTACATTTATTTATTATGAATAACGCTGTTAATGACCTTTGCTTTTCGTTATGGAAAATAGAATTGTTTGGCAGATACTAAATTGACAATTCATGCATTTTTCACAGGCTCAGATTCTAGTTAATGTTTATTAGCTCTAAGTCACTAGTATTTGAAAATAGTATACTGTTAGGGAAACTGTTTCAGGCAACACCAGTACTGGTTAGGTTTTTTTGTTTTGTTTTTGTTTTTTGTTTGTTTTTCTTTTTAATAGTGAAGATGTTTGGGAGCTTGAGAGAGCTCATTAGTTAGGAGCACTGGCTGTTCTTCCAGAGGATCCAGATTCGATTCCCAGTACCCACATGGCAGATCACAGCCATCTGTAACGTCAGTCACAGGCAACCCAACACCCTCTTTTGGCTTCTGTGGGCATTGTGTGCACATGGTGCCCATGCACACATATGGGCAAAACATTCTCTCTCTCTCTCTCTCTCTCTCTCTCTCTCTCTCTCTCTCTCTCTCTCTCTCTCTCTCTCTCTCTCTCTCTCTCACACACACACACACACACACAATCAAAATCAGTCTGGTTTTTCAAGTCTAGTCACAGGGGATCTGGTATCTTCTGGCCTCCTGGGTATCAAACATGAGACATACGTGCAGGCAGTAGACGTTTGGAGTTTGTATTCTGAAGAAATGTAGTATTTATAAACCAAAATCTTCCCTAGAGATAAGGAAGCTGGACCTTGGTCACTCGCTCCTCCTTTCTGGTGCCTTTCCCACAGTGTTAGATTGCCTCCGTGAGGAGAAACCAGTGTCTGGGTCTGACTGGAAACTGAAAAGGCTTCTGCACTGTTTTTCTTATTTCTGGGAGCCATGGACCCTGTCTGACCCAGTTAGAAGAGTTACTCGAGCTCCCTGTATTTTTTGTTTTTTGAAACAGGGTCTTACTGTGTAGTCTTGCCTGTCCTGGAACTCAATGTGTAGACCAGGCTGGCCTCAACTCACAGAAATCACACTGCTTCTGCCTCCTGAGTGTTGGGACCAAAGGTGTGTCCCATCATGCCCAGCACTCCTTGTGAAGCGCTACTCCCAGCGACTCTGAAGAGTAGAATGAAATAGTGTGTCTAACATTAGAAAGAATTGGTATGTGCAGAGGGTAAGGCCTTTAGGATTGAACTGTAAGAAACCATTTGTAGATGTTGGAAGGTTAATCTGGAAGCATAATAACTGAAAGCATACTATATGTCCGTTATTTGTCTTTATAGTTAGAGTTGAATTAATTCACCTTGTTCTGCATGTTCATTTATTTTGAGAACTACCATAATCCAACAAGGTGAACAAAGAGCCTTAGTTTAAGAGTTGGTGTGGAACTTGAGTTAACATTCTTTTTTTGTGACTAAAGAGCAGGTTGTTCCATGTCAGTGACCCTACCATTAATGGATGGAGATTTAGAAAAGCAGGTATTGTCAGTAAGATTGGGTTCTAGTTGAAAACTACTCTGGTGATTAAAGTAGATTTAACAAGTTCTAAATTGCTTTGTGTTCTCAATAGGTTACAGGAACCAAAGAAAGACCTGATAGCCCGAGTAGTGAGGATAATTGGGACCAAAAAAGCCATTGAACTTTTGATGGAAACCACTGAAGTTGAACAGAACGGTGGTCTTTTTATAATGGTAAGACTGCTTTACTGTTTCTGGGTTTGGTTTGGGGGGTTTTGTTTGATTGGTTTTGGTTTGTTTTTTTGAAACAGCTTTTCTCTGTGTAACCCTGTCTGTTCAGGAACTCTTCCTGTAGACCAGACTGGACTCCAACTTACAGAGATCCACCTGCCTCTGTCTTCCAAGTGCTGGGATTAAAGGGATGTGACACCATCGCCCGGCTGTAATTTTTTTTAAAAAGAAAACTTTATATGTTCCAGTGAGTTAATACTGGTCTACTGAATATTGAGATGTGAATTCAAGTGCACTTTTGATATATTGTCTTTGAATAATTATTGAAAGCCTGCTTTGTACTGAAAGCTATTGCAGTCAAAGACAAGAAAAAGTCAGTTTATTGCAGTAATTATAAAGCCAGCCATGGTGACACATGCCTATAATCCCAGCACTAGAGAGGCAGAGACAGGAGAAATGCTGAGCTGGAGACAGGGTTCCTCTGTATTGTTTTGGAGGCTATCGGTCCAACCCAGCCTCGAACTCAAAGAGATCCACCTGCCTCTGCCTCCCGAGTGCTGGGATTAAAGGCGTGCGCCACCACCGCCCAGCTGCTGTGGCATTTCTTGAAAAAATTAATATAAAAATTTTAAGAGTAAGTAATAATTAAAGTGTATTAGCAAGTGTATGCCCTGATGGGAAAGAAATAGATCAAATGAAGGTGTGAGGAAGAGAGCAGAGAAGTGTAAATAAGTGGTCAGGGTAGCGATCTGAACAGGGTACTGCAAGAATGGTACGTGCGTGTTTGCGTGTGTGTGCGTGTGCGTGCGTGTGTGTGTGTGTGTGTGTGTGTGTGTGTGTGTGTGTGTGTGTGTGTGTGTGTGTGTGTCAGTGTCAGCTTGGAAGGTGTGAGAGATAGAGAGATACCTGGTGGGACCAGAAATGCTCAAGGTGAGCAAGAATTTGCCTTGGGTGCAAAGTTTGGCAGGATACCAATACTCAAGGTATATGGCATTTTCAATGTGATCTTTTCAAAACTAAAAATTTATTTTTCTTTGTTTTTGAGATGGGGGGTCTTGTTATATATCCTTGGCTGCCTTTGAACTCACTGTGTAGACCAGGTGGCCTCAAACTCACAGAGATCCACCTGCCTCTGAGTACTGGAATCAAAGCTGTGCCCCCCACACCTGGCTCAAAATTAAAAATGTAAGAAAATCCACATTCAACTAAATAAAAGGTGGGCTTCAACCATGTACAGTTGACCTAAAATCTTCCTGGTGCCTGATAAGAACAAGGGGGTCTTTGTGATCGGATAAAATCAATGAGAGACTAGGACATAAGGTATCTTAGTTACTTTCCTATTGCTGTGCTAAAACACCATGACCAAGGCAACCTATAAAAAGACTTTTAATTTGGGGCAGCATTTCAGAAGGTTAGAGTCTGTAAGTATAGTGGCAGGCAGGCATGGCACTGAAGCAGTAACTAAGAGCTCTCGCCTTAAGACTAGACAGGAGACCGAGAGAGACACTGGGCCTGGCCAGGTCTTTTGAAACCTCAAAGCCTATGCCCAGTGCCTCCTAATTCTTCCCAACAGTTCCACTAGCTGCTGCCGAGCATTCAAACGTGAGCCTGTGGGGCCATTCTCGTTCAGACCACCCCGTAAGACTCGAACTGTGAGCAGGTTCTCGTGGGGAATACTTTGTGCTCAAATTTGACTTTTTACTTAGAATGAAGTAGTTCTTGGAGGTCTTTGAGTGCACATTGAATTCTAGCTGCAGGAGTTAATGCCATGAGTCAGTTGCCTCTTGCTCTGGGAGCTAGTGTCCTTCTCAAGGTCTCTCAGTGTAGTGCCATGTGTTTTGCATCTTTGTGTTCTATTTTCTGGTGGTTAGCTGGGTAGTATGAGGGTACTGACACTTGTAAATTCTAGAGAACTGTGGCATGCCTTAAGGAAAAAATTATATTCGTTAAGCTTCATTTAATAATGATTTATAATGTTTTTGGCCATTAGTCCGTATTAATGAATCTATATGTGTGTGCATGCATTTTGTTTGTTAGGTTGGTTTTTGATTTGTTGTTTTCACTTCAGTGGCTTATTAAAACCCAGTCTTGTACAAAATATGCCCTATTTGCTAATTTGTATTTGTGACAGCTTTAAGAATATTGGGAAGTAGTCTGTCATGATCAGTGTAAAGCAGTGGTAGATATGTATGTATGTATGTATGTATGTATGTATATCTTAGAGTATATAATTAAATCTAAAATTCTTAAAAAGAACCAGAATCAGATCTGGGTTTCAAATCTGGTTCTGGCTGTCTCCATAAGCGTACCTCTATTCAAATATGTCCTGGTCATTTGTGGAGCCGTGGTCTGGGAGCCTGGGTTCTAGTCAGTGACTCAGCACTTTGCTAGCATGACAGAGGCCCTGACTTCTGTCTCAGTACTTTTTTTTTTCTTCTTCTTCTTTTTGGTTTTTGGTTTTTCGAGACAGGGATTCTCTGTATTGTTTTGGAACCTGTCCTGGAACTCACTCTGTAGACCAGCCCGGCCTCAAACTCACAGAGATCCACCTGCCTCTGCCTCCTGAGTGCTGGAATTAAAGGCGTGCGCCACTGACGCCCTGCTTCCAGTGCTGTTAATAAGTAGTCAGTCTTCACATGTGCAGTTGTCAAAGAATAAATTTGAAATAGTCTCAAAAACTTGCCTATGGCAATGTGTATAGATTAATTTTTTGTTTCTTTTTGTAGAATGGTAGTCGAAGAAGAACCCCTGGTGGGGTTTTCCTGAATCTCCTGAAAAACACTCCTAGCGTCAGTGAAGAACAAATTAAGGTAATGACAACGACTGTGTCCTTGGCTTTATGATGCATCAAAACACAGGACTTAGGGCACACATTTGTAATCCCAACACCCAGAAGCAGAGACAGGAGGATTGCTGCTTCCCAGGAAAGATCCCGTTTCAAAAGAGAAGCTGAGCATGGTAGTACATGCCTTTAATCCCAGCACTTGCAGGGGAAAGTGATCTCTGTGAGTTTGAAGCTAGACAGAGCCACATAAGATCCTGTCTCAGAAAAAGGAGAAAAAAGATGCTTAGTTCTTTTTGGACTTCTATTGAGTCTCCTTTTCTTTCTGTTATTTTTGTTTTGTTTTGTTTTTGAGACAGGGTTTCTCTGTAATAGCCTTGGCTGTCCTGAAACTCAATTTGTAGACTAGGCTGGCCTCGAACTCACAGAGATCTGCCTGCCTCTGCCTCTGTCTCCCAAGTGCAGGGTTTAAAGATGTGCACCACCACTGCCGGGCTAGTCTAGCTTTTTGAGAGTCAGTTTTAAGCACGTGAGTAGGGCTGACAAGAGGGCTCAGTGACTGAAGGAGCACAGCGAGGTGTACAACCTGAGTTTAGTCCTAGGAGCCCATGGTGGAAGTGAACAACGGAGTCCTGCAAGTTACTTCTGACGCATGTAATGAAAAAATCTTACAGGTGCCATAAAAGTGAATTTGAGAGCTAGGGTATAGTAGTGTAGTGAATGCTCAGTATGCACAAAAACCAAGTTCGATAAAGAAAAGATTGAATTTCTTAAATGTCAAGTAAGACTGGCTAGATGTCTCCAATGGTAAAAGCATTTGCCATCCCAGACAATATGTTCTATCCACATGATGCTGCAGCTACTCTTTTAATTGTCACATTGGTGAGAGTCAGTCTGTAGAGTTTGGAAGCCAAAACCAGACTTTTTGTTGTTAATGTTGGTTTGGTTTACATTGTGGATGCATGTGCGTGCGTGCGTGCGTGCGTGCGTGCGTGCGTGCGTGCGTGCGTGCGTGCGTGTGTATACCATAGCATTTGTGTAGAGATGGGAGGACAGCTGGTGGGAGCAGTGTCTTTCCACCGTGTTGGTCCTGGTGTGTGGTGATAGTTATTATTTAGTAAAGCTTGCCCGAGGGAACAGAAGCCAAAGCAGCCAAGCTCTCACCTCTACCTCAGGCTGAAAGGGCTGATCCTGTCTCCATGAACTCTCCACCAAGCCTCTCCTCAGCATAGCTAGAGACTAAATCTCAGAATGCAGCCTGAGACACTGGGCTCCTGTCTTATATACCTCTCCAGGACTAGAATTAAAAGTATGAGTATGTTACTCTTTTAGACTGATTCACTCTCGTGTAGCCCTGGGTGGTCTTGGACTCACAGAGATCCATCTGCTTCTGTCTCCTGAGTCCTGGGATTAAAGGTGTGTGCCACCATTGCCCCGCTTCTATGGCTAGCTAGTGTGGCTAGCGCTGCTTTCTGATACTTCAGACAATCTTTATTAAATCATGAACAATGATATATATCACCACACTGGTGGTTGAACTTGGCTCATCAGGATTGGTGCCCACTCAGGTACCTCCCCTGCCTGTTTTCCTCTGCTCTCTTCCTTCGACCCTTCCATTTTCTTTCTCTTCTGTTTTCTTTGGGGTTTTTGCTTATTGCTTATCCTTGTTTGGGAACCTTGTAGTTTAATACTCAGTGTAGAAAATAGAAAACATGTGTTCATGTTTGGGGGGAAAAGCAGAAAGTAATAGTTTCTGGTTTTTGAGACAGGGGTCCCACTGTGCAACCTTGACTGGCCTCTGCTTCCTGAATCCTGAATGTCCCACCGATGGTTTCCTTTTAATGAGACTTGCAATGTTTGGTGGGAAAGGAACTTCATAACCGTTTACTTCATTGCCAAATATAAGGGTCTTTTTGTTGTTGTTGTTTTTGTTTTTTAAGATCAAGATGCTTAATAAAGTAAAGTTACATTTTACCTCTTGAAACCACCATGTGGTTTCAAGAATTACAGGATTACACATCTGCAATTCTAGCATTTGGGAGGCAGGGGCAGGAGGATCCTCACAATTTGAAGTCAGCCTGGTCTACATAGTGAGTTCTAGGCTGGCCATGGTAGTATAGTGAGACTCTCCTAACAAGCATATATTTATTTATATTGGTTTTACTCCTCAAAAAACATTTTTGCCCTTCACAATTTGGGATGGTGTAGCCGTATACTACAAGTAGTGGGTAAAGGCTAGATGCCCAGCCTAGGAACTCATTAGTGCCAGTGTTAAGAAGCATCGTGCTCTTCAGTATTGGTTTTTATTTTATGTGTGTGTGAGTGTTTGCCTGCATGTGTGTACAGTGCTCTCAGCCCTGGGGGGAGGGTTGGAGTTATAGGTAGTTGTAAGCCAACATGTTGGTGCTGGGAACTGAATCTAGGTCCTCTAGAAAAGCAGCAATTACTCTTAACTGCCATCTTTCCAGCCCCTGCAATAATACTTTTTTAAGAGATGGAATTGTTACATTTTGCAAGTGGCATGTTCTTACATAGATCAGTTTAATTTTGTAGCACAGGTAGCCATGTATAGTTAGGATGTTTCAAAGTTAATACATCTTTAATCTTTTATTGTGAGTATGTGTGTGTGTGAGTATGTGTGGTCAGTTATAATTTAAGTTCTAAGCAAAGTTTCCGTGTGTGTGTGTGTGTGTGTGTGTGTGTGTGTGTGTGTGTGTGTGTGTGTGTGCGCGCGCACACATGAGATCAGTTAAAGTTCTAAGCAAAGTTTCCCCGAGGTAGTTCCTCTTTTAGCAAACAGATGTGTGGGACGGTGTGTTAGGGTAGAATGAGCATGGCCTACCTAACAGTAGATTGGCTTTGACTATAGTAGTTGACGATATCATGAACTCTGTTCTGGTAATGGGATCACTAGTACTTGTTTTTTTTTTTGTGAGAAATAGATGATTTTAAAAGGCCTCCCTCGTTATATAACAAATAATACGGTGTGGCTTCTTGCTTGTTATTTTTAACCAACGTTCTTTTTATTTCAGGAAATTTTCTACATTGAAAATCAAAAAGAATATGAAAATAAAAAAGCTGCTAGAAAAAGAAGAACACAGTTATTGGGGAAAAAAATGAAACAAGCTATTAAAAGTCTGAATTTTCAAGAAGATGATGATACATCACGAGAAACTTTTGCAAGTGACACTAATGAGGCCCTGGCCTCTCTTGATGAAGCCCAGGAAGGAACCGGCGAAACCAAGCTGGATGCTGAGGAGGCCATTGAGGTGGATCATCCTCAGGACTTGGACATCTTTTAGGCACATTTTGGACGTTTTGAAAAATAGACCTTTGTAAAAAAAAAAGTTTCCATTTCTACTGAGATTGCTGTACTATGCACTGAGTGTGGAGAAAGGAGAGCTGTTGTGTTTCTTGTTTGAAGTAAAATTGTATGTGGGCAGTCAGATGCCATTGACGGCCGTGTCTGACAGGTGTACAGCATGAGTGTCATTGCTCATTCTGCTGCATGTAGTGACTGCTAACGCCTAGTTCTACCTGCGCTCGCACTGTCCAGCTCACTGTCATGCCATTAAGAAGCTTTTGTTTTCTGATTTCTTTGTGGTGAACTATGCTTAGGTTTTAACACATTCCATTAAAATATGCTATAATATGCATAAATTGCTCAGCTCTTACATCCGATTGTTCCTGTAGGGCGGGCAGGGTCTTGGTATGGACTTACCTCTTGTCTTTCTCCTCCGCCTGAGCAGTGCTGAGATAATGCGTTTATGCCACCATGCTCTGCTACCTCTTGGCAACTTTTAAAAAGCTATTATTATTGTGTGCATGGCCCCACACCTCCTCCCTCCCTCCCTCCTGCATACAATAATAAATAGCAATTTTGTGAAGCCAGGTATCCTCCCCTTTTAAGTGGGCTGGGGTATAAGGCCTGCACCTCAGATGTCTCTATCTGCTGAGCTATCTCACCGGCCCTTTTAAGCACTCTTGGAAGCTTAAGTCTATGTGGAAGCTCTGCTTGCCATTTGTTGAAAGCAAATATCAGAAGCTTCTTTTTTTTTTTTTTTTTTCTGAAATAGGTTCTCAATGTGTACCTTTGGCTGTCCTAGAACTCACTATGTAGACCAGGATGGCCTCAAATTCCCTATGTAGCCAATAATGGCCTTGAACAGCTGATCCTCCTGCCGCTTCCAAATGCTGAGATTACAGGTGCGTACCACCACACTTGGTTTATATGGTGTTCAAGATTGAATTTAAGGGCTGGAGAGGTGGCTCAGAGGTTAAGAGCACTGGCTGCTCTTCCAGAGGTTCTGAGTTCAATTCCCAGCAACCACATGGTGGCTCACAACCATCTGTAATGAGATCTGGTGCCCTCTTCTGACCTGCAGATGTACTTGCAGTCAGAACACTATATACATAGTAAATAAATCTTAAGGTTCAGAACATTATACTAAGCAAATACCACCAACTAAACTATATCCGTAGGCTCTAGCCCAACAGATTTTTCCTGTTTGTCAAATTTGAAATGTCTCCAAGTATTCTCATTTTTTAATCGATGATAGAGACTTAGAGAAAATAAGACTTACACTGAAAATAGCTCTGAGCTGCATACTCAGCTTCTAAAGGTTGCTGTGGCGTTAGCAGGACAATTGTTACATCAACGATCGCAGTCTCATCAGAATTGGACTGTGTGAGGTTCTAGGTGAGAATTCTGTCATTGCTTCCAGTGATGGCTTTGGAAAAAGATGCCTGTCCTGCTTTACCGAAATTGGACAATATCTGCGCAGCAGAGAACCAATCTAAGCCTGCCAATAAGTGAGGACCTCAGGGTCTGGGTGGTGGTTCCTTGCATTGTGTTAGAGAGTACAGGGCCTCACACAAGCTGGGCAAGTGATCTATCATTGAGCTTCACCAGCCTTCACCATTACACCCCCGGGAGAAGTCAACGCTGGCTTTGACTTCCTCATATAGCTGAGAATGGCCTTGGACTCTTAGTGCTAGGGAAACTGTTATGCACCACCAAGAAGTGCTAAGATGGGACCCAAGTTTTATGCGTGCTAAGCAAACTCTCTACCACCTAAACTGCATCCCCTGCCCTTGTCTGCCCCCAATGTTATTTTTCTGTGTGTTTTTTTCTTCTTTTTAAAATATGTATTTTTTATGTGGTATTCCTGCGTGTATTCCTGCAGGCCAGAAGAGGGCACCAGATCTCATTACAGATGGTTGTGAGCCAGCATGTGGTTGCTGGGTATTGAACTCAGAACCTCTGGAAGAGCAGCCAGTGTTCTTAACCTTTGAGCCATCTCTCCAGCCCTGAGTTTTTGTGTGTTTTTTTTTAATTTAAAAAATCATTGTATGTGTGTGTGTCTGCATGGATTTATGGGCAAGCACACTATATGTGTGGTGTGTGTTTGTGTCCTTGGAGGCCAGGAGCAGGTGTCAGATTTGGAGGGAACTGGAATCCCAGGCATTTGTGAACAGCCCAGTGTGGGTGCTGGCAACTGAACCCCTGTCCTCATGATAGAACATTCAAGTACTCTTAACTGCCCAGCCACGCCATCTCTGCTGCAGCCTAAGTTGGTTTTTTTTTTAATTGCAAGTAGATTCTTCCCATACATTCTGAGCATAGTTTCCTTATCTTTCCTCCTCTTCTCCTAACCTTCCCTTCCTCCCCTCTGCCCCCCTTTTTACTCCTCCATTTCCTCTTAAGAAAAGAGCAGGGCCAGGTGTTGGTGGCACACTCCTTTAATCCCAGCACTCGGGAGGCAGAGGCAGGCGGATCTCTGTGAGTTCGAGGCCAGCCTGGTCTACAAAGCGAGTTCCAGGAAAGCCTCCAAAACAATACAGAGAAACCCTGCCTGGAAAAATATAAATAAATAAATAAATATTAAAGAGAGAGAGAGAGAGGGGCTCCAAGAAAGGTCAGCCTAAGAGGATAAAACAAGATACCTTTACCATTAGACAAGGCAAAAGCCCTCATATCAAGGCCAAACAAAACAACCCAAAAGGAGAATAACGTCTCGAGCAGGCAAAAGAGACACACCTGCTCCTACTGTTAGGTGCTGTAAAAATACCAAGCTAGCAGCCATAACATATGCAGAGGACCTGGTGTACAACCATGTAGGCCAGTTCAGCCTCTGAGCCCTGCTTAGTTGAGTTGGTGGGCCATGGTGTCCACCACAAACTCTCGATGAGTTCTGAGTTTTCTGTTGCCCATGTGTTGTGCAGTCTAGGACATGCAAGAGTACAGTAAATTTGAGTTTTGTCTTAGCTGCTTTTGCTCTGAAGAGACACCATGGCCAAGGCAATTTACAGAAAAGTTAGTAAGAAGCTCGTGGTTTCAGAGGCTTAGTCCATGATCACCATGTTGGGGAGCATAGCAACTGGTTCACTCTTAGAAACAGACTGTAGGGGCTGGAGGGATGGCTCCGTGGTCCAGCGCACTTGCTGTTCTAAAGGACCAGAGTTCAGTTCCTAGCACCCACACTGAGCAGCTCACAACTGCCTCTAGTTGCAGTCTCGGGGGCTCTCATGCCCACTTCCTCCCTCTGAAAGGCATCCTTGCACACACATACATACACCAAATAAAAATAAAACTCTGGGTTGTATGTACATTTGTAGTTGGGGTACACTTACCCAGCCCTAACTTGATCTTGGTGATACTTGGGTTTATTTTGTGGAAGGGTCTCACTCTAGCCCTAGCTGACCCAGTATCCAGTATGTAGAGTAGGATGGTCTCTAGCTCTCTAACTGCTGGGATAAAGGCTGAACTACTACATCGAGCTGGCTGGCTGGCTGTTTGTTGAACCTCAGTAGCACAACTCTGCCGTGCAGCTCTGGGACGTGAGGAACACAACTACATCCATTTCTTAGAGCAGAGATTCTCAACCTTCCTGATGCTGAGATCCCTTAATACAGTTCCTCGTGTTGTGGTGACCCCTAACCACTAAATTATTTTTGTTGCTACTTCATAACTATAAATTCTGTTACTGTTATGAATCATAATATAAAAATGTGTTTTCCGATGGTCGTAGCTGACCCCTGTGAAAGGGTTGTTTGACACCCCCCAAGGGTCATGACCCACAGGTTGAGAACCATTGTCACATTATGACTTGGACACAAATTGACACAAATCTCCTTTCTCCTTTCCTAATCTTCAGGTGTGAGGAAATTCACTTACCACGGTTCTCACTAAAGCAAGGCATGATCCCGACACGTTACGTTATGCCTTGGAAAGAAAACATGAAATTCAGGAATGTGAATCTGAAGGTATTTTCTTACAAATATTCAGATTAAAGGCTACCTGTGGCTGTCAGAGAGGAAGGTGTTTTCCTGACAGTCTGAGGCTGACCTAAGACCCACAGGCTGGAAGGAGAAACCTGATTCCTGCAAGACGTCCTCTGGCCTGCTCACACACACATGCTCACATGTGCCCATACATGCTCACTAAATAAACCAAACATGACAACAAAAATAAAGCCAGTTTAGAATGCTCTCTAAGGCATATATAGCTCTGCAAAACAACAACAACAACAACAACAAAAAAAACAATTTTTCTATGTATTTTCACATATGCTCGTAAACAAAAATAACCCAAATGCAAACATAGAATGGCCGCACGACAGCATTTGAGGTCACATACACTCACGCAGGTCGTGAGCAGTAAAGCTGCAAGTACAGGAGCTATGCTTTCAGATTGGGCCGAATGTTCAAGCAGAAAACCATGGAAACAGCTGGGCTGGATCTACAGGTAAGACTCCACCCAGTGCTGCCAGCCAATTTGAAAATGTTTTCCCAATTAAGATTGGCCCTTATAGGACTCTTCTTTTCCTTCCTTTCCTTCCTTCCTTCCTTCCTTCCTTCCTTCCTTCCTTCCTTCCTTCCTCCCTCCCTTCCTTCCTTCCTCCCTTCCTCTCTCCTTCCTCTGCTTCTCTCTTCTCTTCCTTCTCACCACCCCTCTCTCTGGATCCAGATTATCCTGGAATTCACCATATAGCCCAAGCTGGCTTTGAACTCATGACTATCTGAAGTGTGTTCCTAATTAGTCTTAGTAATAAAATCCTGGAGTCAGATAGCGGGGTAGAAACTGAAAGATCAGAGAAGTAAAGGACCAGCCATGGTCACCTTTCACTTCCCTGACTCCTCAGATGGAAAAGGGCTGAGCTGCTGTCTACACCCTACCTTATCACTTCCTCTCTCTGCCCAGCCACATCACTTCCTGTCTGTCTGTACAGACCTCCAGAACTCTATGGTCAACTCTAGCTCCACCCTCTGATCTCCAGGCAAGCTTTATTTGTCAGAGCACAAACAAAATATCACAACAGCTATCCTCCCGCCTCAGTTTCCCCAGTGCTAGGATTAAAGACAGAAACCACCATACCTTTCTAGTAAGTTATTTCTTTAAAGAGTTAGAATGTATTACAGTGTAAATAATTTGAAAATTTTCAAAAGAATAAATAGCTACTATTGAATAAGAATATGTTTTGGCAAGACAAAAAGAAGCCTTAGATGGGGCTGAAGAGATGGCTCAGAGGTTAAGAGCACTGACTGCTCTTCCAGGGGTCCTGAGTTCAATTCCCAGCAACCACATGGTGGCTCACAGCCATCTACAATTCAACCTGGTGCCCTCTTCTGGCATGTAGGCAGAACACTGTATATGTAATAAATAAATAAATCTTTAAAAAATAAAAGAAGTCTTAGAAATTACAAATATCAACATAGGGTAAAATAAGTGGCTCAATTGCTGGGCATTGGTGGCGCATGCCTTGAATCCCAGCACTCAGGAGGCAGGGGCAGGTGGATCCCTGTGAGCTCAAGACTAGCCTAATCTACTTCGAGAGTTCCAAGACAGCCTCCAAAGCTACAGAGAAACCCTGTCTCCAAAAACAAAACAAACAAACAAAAAGCCATGGCTCAATTGTTTCCTTATAAAATGCTCCTGTACACTGCTATAAAATAAGAGAAGTTATGCTTTCCTTGAGATATATGGGGGGAGTTTTTTGCTTTGGTTTGCTTTTGGTTTTGGTTTGTTTGTTCATTTTTGAGACAGTTTCTCTATGTAGCCCTAGCTGTCCTACCTACCTCTCTGCCTCCTGAGTGCTAGGATTAAAGGCATGTGCCACCACTGCCCCACATGGGATTTACCTAATACTTAAAAAACAAAACAAAACACTACAGAAATTAAAACACGGGTATGAAATACCAGTCTGCATACACTTATTATTGACTTCTATTTTGTTTTGTGTGTGTGAGAGACAGAGAGGAGAGAGAGAGACAGAGAGACAGAGAGAGAGAGAGAGGATGAGAATTGTATATTCCTGATTGTCCTGAAATTTGCATATAGACAAGACCGGTCTCAAACTTAGATCCATCTAACTCTGCCTCCCAAATGCTGGGATTAAATGTGTGTACTACCATAACTGGCTTTTATTCCATCTTGATATTGGGATCTATTTTATATAATTTGATGTCTTAATAAATAGTATTGTAGGGCGGAGAGATGACTCAGCAGTATAAGAGCACTGGCTGCTCTTCCAGAGGAACTGGGTTCAATTCCCAGCACCCACATGGCAGCTCACAGCTGTCTGTAACTCCAGTTCCAGGGGATCCGACACCCTCACACAGAATATATTACAGGCAAAACACCAGTGTACATTAAGTAAACAAATTTTGGGTTTTGTTGTTGTTGTTTGTTTATTGAGACAGTGTTTCTCTATGTAGCATTGGAAGCTTTCCTAGTACTCACTCAGGCTAACCTCGAGCTCACAGAGATCTGCCTGTCTCTGCCTCCCAAATGCTGGGATTATAGGCGTGTGCCATCACTGCCCGGCTTAAATAAATAAATCTTAAAAAAAAAACAAGAAGAGAAAAAGTCTTTAAATCTAACATGAAAAGGGCATCTGGTGCTGTTCAGCAGAGTGTTTTCTCTCTTAGCAAGCCGAAGCATGTGGGATCTATGCTGGCCCCTTGGAGGACTCTCTGTTCTGGGGCTACAGCGAGCGGCTTTGCCATGGGGAAGATCGAAAAGTCGTCCTGAAGAAAGGCCTGCCGGAGATAAAGATTGCCGACATGCCTTTGCATTCACCTCTCTCCAGATACCAGAGCACTGTGATCTCCCATGGCTTCAGGAGGCGGCTGATTTGATGTGCCAACCTGGGGGTAGCGGTGTGCTTGCCTGATGTACAACAGGCTCAGGGTTCAAATCCTATTACTACTAAAAAAGAATAAAATGATATAGCAGTCCAATCTCTTGCCCTGTCTCAGTGCTTAAAAGTTAACCTTAGCTGTTAAGACTGGAATAAAAGAACCTGTGTCTGCCAATGCTGCTGTCAAGGGGAGCTGGAACTCTTTGAAAAGCTACAGAGGATGAAACCAACATGGCTTCGAAGTTTGTTGTTTTATAAATTCTGACATCGTGGAAAAGCACAGACATGTCTATGTTTGTAACATCGCTCATGATAACTGTCATTCTGCCCCAAAATTCAATCCAAAACTTAGGAAATAGCTGGAGAAGTTGGGCGGTGGTGGTGCACATCTTTAATTCCAGCACTCAGGAGGCGGAGGCAGATGTATCTCTTGAGTTCAAGGCCAGCCTGGTCTACGGAGCAAGTTCCAGGCCAGGGCTACACAGAGTTCCAGGGCTACACAAAGAAACCCTGTCTTGGAAAAAAAAAATAGCTGGAGTTCCCTACAGAGGACTTATTTTCTACATCTCCTTGATAGTCTGTACATATCTAAGAAACGAGAGGTTAGTTACCCCGAGTGTAGATTTTTTAATGTTTTTAAATTAGAAACATGAATGCTTCACATGTCAATCCTAGCTCCCTCACCCACCCCTCCTCCCTTGTCCCTCCACCAGCCCTCCAGCCGCCCCCCCATCCCCACATCATTCCCCAGGGAGGGTGAGGCCCTCCTTGGGGGGGGATCTCTAAAGTCTGTCATTTCATCCAGGGCAGGACCTAGGCCCTTCCCCATGTGTCCAGGCTGAGAGAGCATCCCTCTATTTGGAATGGGCTCCCAAAGCTCATTCATAAACCATGGTAAACACTGATCTACTACCCAAGGCCCCAGTGATTTCTGTGGCCTCCTCACTGGCACTACATTCATGGAGTCTGGATCAGTCCCCTGTTGGCCTCTCGGCCATCAGTCTGGGATTCAAGAGCTCCCCCTAATCCGGTCAGCTGTCTGTGTGAGTTTCATCATCATGGTCTTGACCCCTTTGTTCATCACTTCTCCATCTCTGTCACTAGGTTCCAGGAGTTCAGTTCACCAAGTGTAGATTTTTTTCACTGATAACCACTACCTTGCCTCTAAAACCAATCTGAACCGATTAACCCACTTCTCTAGAGCAAGCTTTCCTGCCCCTGCTGAAAATCAATCCAGTGCTCTCTCTACCATTGACCACAAAAGCAAATTCAGCTGAAATAGGGAAAGCAAAGGCTCAGTGTCAGCTTTGGAGATAGCCTTTACATTTATGCCACTCAACTAGTGTTCAAAACCTCAGAAATAATGAAGCCCAGACAATTTTATAGGGATGAGGAATGGGAACTCCATAGGACATCTTAAGGAGCCCAAGAACTCTGTGAAAGGATACCTTGAGTCTGGGAGTCGATGTGAGTCAGAATCTTCATATATCCCTAGGACTAGGTAGGAAAAAATCTTGAGTTGAAATGGACACACAGAGACCTCTGAATACATTGCTCACAGCCAGTGGTACTAACATACTGTGGGCTGGGTCCTCTCATCCCCACAAGGGTTCATGTGTTTGTGTAGAAGTCTGGTCCCCATAGCGTCAGTGACAAGTGATGAAGCATAATCTGAGCCTTGGGCAGTTGGGTGTGCACCCTCAGAAGAGACTAAGCACTCGGGGGACCCCTGAGCTAGTTCTAATGAGGGTAAGAACTCTTGAATCACCCCAGTCCCCTGGTTGGTTGTTGATGCTCTTGCTATCAGGGCTCAACTCTAGGGCCTTCCTCATGGTAGGCCTGTCTTTGGATATCATCTCACTCTTGGCCATGGGCAGATTATGAAGCCACTTACCCGAAGCTGAACCAGCTCGTCTGCCCTGTCTTACTTTCAGCCTTCAAATGATAAGCTTCACCAAAGAGCGCTTTCTTTCTCCTTCTTCCACAGTGTTGGAGTGCTGGGCTAGTGCTTGACCACTGAGTTTAAGCTTTGCTTTTCCCAAGACACGGTCTCACTGTGTAGATCAGGCTGGCCTCTCACGGAGCTCTGCCTGCCTCTGCCTCTCCGGTGCTAGGATCAAAGGTGTGTGCCACCACACCTGATTCAACCCTTTCTTTATAAATATCTGTAGATGTACTGTATAGTAACCAGAACAGTCTAATAACTCATTTACTCTCTATGAAGTCTGTCTCTGAGACAGCGATTCTATGACATCAAGTTTTCTGTCTGTTACAGTTTGAATCTGAAATGTCCTTGTTGTGGTTTGAAAGAAAATGGCCCCCAAAGAGAGTGGCACTATTAGGAGGTGTGGTCTTGTTGGAGGAAGTGTCACTATGGGGGACAGGCGTTGAGGTCTCTTTTTTCTCAAGCTTCCTTCAGTGTGACCATCAGTTGACTTCCTGTTGCCTCTGAGTCAAGATGTAGCCCTCTCAGCTCTAGTTCCGAGTCTGCCTGCACGCTGCCATGCTCCCCATCATGATCGTAATGGACTGAATCTCTGAAACTATGAGCAAGCCACCGCAATCAAATGTTTTCTTTGTAAGGACTGTCACGGTCACGGTGTCTCTTCACAGCAACAGAAACCCGACCTAAGAGTTCTCCACAGGAAAATGCTTAAACACTTGATCTCAGTTGATGGAGCTATTTTTGGAAGCTATTCTTAGGAGCAGGACTCAGCTAGAGGAAGTGGGTCTCTGGGGATGAGCCTGTGAAAGTTTCATCTGGGCCACAGTCCTTTCTTCTTTTTCTGGGTCCTCCACACCTCTTGCTACCACAATGCTCTGCCCGAGTTCATGGGCTAAGAGACACGGGCCAAACTCTCTGAAACCATGAGCCCAAATACATCTTTGTCCATTAAACTGTTCTCTCTGGTATGTTAGTCACAACTGTCCAAAAGTAAGGAACTCTTCATCCCACGTGGTTTTCCTTCTGTTTCTGTGAATGCCAAGTTATTTTCCAGTGAGCGTCCCTTTCAGACTGTCCCTTGCCTAATTTCATGCTCACTTCCTTTCGACGTTTCCCTCCTCCATGATGGGCTAGTTTGAGGTTATGATGTCCCTCCCAGTAGAGCCCGAATACATGAGGAATCTTACTTAGGCCAGGGAGGTCCTTCCCGGTGATTGTGAATCCCTGGGACTTCCAAGGTCCAAACTGCCTGTGGGTGTAGCTCTTCCACACTAAAATCCCTGGTGATTGTATTTAACCAGCAGTGACTAGTTTCTGTCCATCTGGGGAGCCTTGAGAACTAGCAACGCAGGCAAAGTCCACAGGGTGGGGGGGGGGAGGCAGGCAGAAAGGTGAGCAGTGGCTTGAGTTGAAATAGTTCTGTTTACCCTTCTCTGCATTCTCCGGGCTCTGACAAGAGGGGATCTATGTATGATGGGGCCAGTTTACCTGTTTTGTTGTCGTTAGTGGTGGCATATGTGTGTATGTGTGTGCACGAGCAGGCGCGTGTGTGAATAATAATGTATACAACCAAAAACAATACCGGAAGCCAGAACACCAAAATGGTCCCAGTGTTAGTACTTCTGGTGGTGGTGATGTCACTGGTGATGATGGTGGTGATAATTTGGGTCTTCTGAGACAAAAAGGTGATGTTGGTCTCTGTAGCCCAGACTAGCCTAGAACCCTGGAGTTCTGGGAGTACAGGCAAGTACAAACATGTATTTCATCAACAGAAGCTCTTCCTTGGGTGTGAAATACTCTTCCCTCTGTCCTGTTGTCACAGTTAAAAAATCACCACAAATGCCAACTCCTATGGGACGATGTTTCATGCTCAACTCCACGTTCAACTCTTCTTACCAGAAAGTTCCATCTTTGTGCTCCTAGTTCCTCAGCTCGACCAGAAGGGGGCTCTGTTGCATCATGTAAAATGCAATTTGATTTCTGAAGAGAAAATGGAGGGGGGAGTGGATCTGGGGGAGGGAGGAGGTAGGGGTAGCTGGGAGGACTGAAGGGAGGGGAAACTGTGCTCAGGATATATTATAAGAGAGAAAAATCTATTTTTAAAACAACAATTTTTAAAGGTAAAAAAACACAAAACCTTGCATAATGGGGAAAAGAGAAGCTAATGGCAGTCGGTGACTGCTAAGGGAGAGTCATTTTTTTGGGGGGTGGGGGAGAAGCCAATGGTGGTTGTCCAAGTCCCAGTGGACAATCGCAGGTGCTGTGCCTGTATGGGCAGCACTAATTGATCTTAGTGGGTTATTGACAAAAGGGCATGAAGATGGAGGAAGATGGGGACTATGTTGGTGAGGGATGATGGAGGGTGATGAATATGAATGACCAAGATACATTGTACACATGTATAAAATCATCAAGGATTTAAAAGTAAATGTAATTTTTTAGGGGGGGGGGGTTGTCCGAGACAGGGTTTCTCTGTGGCTTTGGAGGCTATCCTGTTCTCATAGACCAGGCTGGTCTCAAACTCACAGAAATCCACCTGCCTCTGCCTCTGCCTCAGCCTCCCAAGTGCTGGAATTAAAAGTGTGTGCCACCACCGCCCGGCCAAATTTATTTATTTTCATTTGTGTATTTATTTTTTGTTTTTCAAGACAGGGTTTCTCTGTATAACAGCTCTGGCTGTCCTGGAACTTGCTCTGTAGACCAGGCTGGCCTCAGACTCACAGAGATCTGCCTGCCTCTGCCTCTCTGCCTCTCTGCCTCTGCCTCCCCAGTGCTGGGATTACAGGCACGGCCTTTTTGTGTCGTCTTTGTTTTACTACAGAATAGTGTTCTGGAAAGGCCATCAACATTCGGTCACAATGAGTCTCCACTCACACAGCTTCTGGCACGCTGAAGGGACGTGTGAATGGCTGTCTTATTGCGAGTTTTTCTCAGACTTCCCACTGTGGATGCATTCCCACCGCTTCCTCTGAAGCAGCTTCCCTGCAGACTTCCGGTACAGGTTGTGCCTTTTCCTCTTCTTTTCCCCACTTGCCTGACACGTCCGCTCCAAGCCCAGTTCAGCTGGCGTCTGCACTTGAAGCCTTCCTTTATGTGTTGGAAACAATCGTCCCTGCCTCTGGGTCCTGGCTTCAGTTGTATTTTATGTCATTATT